AAAAATCCTGATTTTCTGGAATTTATATTCCAGGTGAGCTGATGCTGGTGGAAGAATAGCACCTGGTTCCCCTCCAGCCATGCCCAGAGCAGGAAAACTCTCAGAGGCTGTAGTCTTTTCTTTTAAGCAATTAACAATATATTGTCTATTAGCCTCTAGTTAATCTAACAAGGTTCAAAGCTCTGAGAGAGCTGACAAACTCTCTAGTATTTCCCAGAGTTTACAGACAGTGCTAGGTATACAACAGGTTTTAAATAAAAGTCTGTGGGGAGTATAATATTGAATTGAACATAATGTTCAGACAAAGCAGATGAGCTTTCTGCAATCGACCATTTAACTCTGAGGTCAGAATATTTTAGAAAGCACAATTCAATGACTTACATATGGGAAGCACTGAATGAATGAATAATTGAATTAATAGTGTCTCTAAAAATAACAATAGCTACTATTAATATTTGAGTCATAGAATTTAATCAGCTTAAAAGGCTCATGAGATGGACACTACAGTCCTGTGTGGCTTAACAATGGAGACACTTCCTGAGAAACGTGTCACTAGGCAATTTTGTTGTTGAGCCAACATTATGGAGTATACTTACACAAACCTAGATGATACAGCCTAGGACTCCAAGCCTATGCTCTATGGTGTAGCCTATTGCTCTAAGGCCACAAATCCGTACAGCATGTAACTTTGCTGGATACCATAGGCAATTGTAACACAATGGAAACTATTTGTGTATCTAAACACACTAAACATACAAAAGGCGCAGCAAAACTACAGTATTATACTCTTATGGGCCCACCATCATACATCCAGTGCATTATTGACCTAAACATCATTACGCTGCCCATGACTATGTTTGCAGCTCCACTTCAGACATGAAGACTCTGAAGTTTTGAGCTGTTAAGGAAATTGCCCAAGATCATGTTGCCAGAGAGAAATCGAGATAGGATTCAAACTCAGGGAGTTTGGCTCCAGTAGCTTTTAACTTCATGTTATGCTGCCCCCTAATGGTAAACCCAGACGAATCTGACTTTGGGGGAAATTTTACTGGCATTCAATATCTTTTGTCTGTCTTTTTCCGCAAAATAAACTGTCAAATATCTCGTCATTTGGTTCTCATGCTAATGTTGCCTCCACTTGCTAATTTGGATATATTTAACTTTTTTCCTGTTTCTGTTTGAGCAGTGGAAGTTTAGTCTATTTTCTCATAGAAAAGTGGTATGCAAGTTTCCCTTCTCAGCTTCAGGGCTGATCTGAAAATTAGGTGAGACAGACAGGTTTCCCTAAATACAAAATTGAAAGGGTGGCAGGAATGTCTCCCTACAGACACAATCTCCCCTCTTTGCTACCTGATGTTCAAAATCCCACCAACACAGCTTCACTGCTTGGCTTCAAACCATGTCCTTTGTCAAAATGCAAATACATTGGGGATAGATAAGTGAGTGACACTATAATCCAAGCAGCCTGCCAGACTGCCCGTTTTCCTTCTTCCATTTTTTTTTTCAGTAAATATTTTTGGAGGTAGATTCTAGCTGAGTACAAGGTGCTAGAGGTTCACAGATAAATAAAAAGTGGTCTGAGAGGTTTTGATTCTGGGGGCAGATGAATGTAAAAGAAACACAATACTGTGTTTTACATACTATAATGGAGACTTTTATAAGTTTCAGGGAAATCCAAAAGGAGAGAATGTACTGGCTCTACTTGTAAGAATGAGAGTTTATATCCCTTAGGCCTAACATCTTTCACACTTTAGTAAGAATGAATTATAAAGTTTTTTTTTGCAGGAGGCATATTTTGGTGATAGGAGAAGAAGGTTTGGAGTCAGTTTAAGTTCACTTGAATATTACAGAGGGAAAGAGGGAATGACAACAAGAAAAAGAGTTCAGAAAGAAAAACCTGGAAACAAATGTTTACCACCTAGCTGACTTCAGAACTAAGAGTATATTGAGCCCTTCTCACTTATACAAACCTGCCCAGCTGTCAGGCAATGTGTTAAAACACTGTAGTAAAAGAAGAATCAGTATTTTTGAGAAAAAGTTTACATCTATTCTGCAAGGTCAAAAAAGGTGATTGTGATTGGCAGCCACAAAGACAAGCATTTCTTAATTGTATACACCAAGGGTCAACAAACTTTTTCCACAAAGAGCCAGACAGTAAATATTTTAGGCTTTGCGGCCCAGGCAGTCTCTTATGACTAATCAACTCTGCCACAGTTGTGTGGGAGCAGCCCTAGACAATGCACAAATGGATGGGCATCAGTGTGTGCCAATAAAGCTTTGATTACAGAAACAGGTGGTGGGCTGAATTTGAGCCGTGGACCATGGTCTGCTAGCTCCTGGCTTACACCATTTAATAGGCATAATTTTGCCGAGGAGAGAACTCCGGCTCCTGGATGGACAGCAGGACCCCATGCGGAGCTCTTTTCCTGACATTGTGTGGCTACACAGCCTGGTAAGCAGCCGTTCAAAGGACATGGGGACATTGAATGGCAGCTGCAGAAAAGACTGCAGAGACAGGAGGAGGAAGAGAGGGAGGGAACAAAGAGAAACGGGAATTATCTGTTTATTTACTTCTTGTTTATTAGTAGTAATGTAAGAATGTCTAGTTAGAATATTAGTTCATAGATTATATTTACTTAATATCTCATTTATCCATTGCCTGCTATATTCCAAGTATTATGCTAGGTCCTAAAGAAATAATATTGAATAATTCAAAGTCATCACTAGATACAAGATAATCAAATTATCCCCTCTGTACCCCTATTGTGGCTTTTTGTAATCTTCAACTATTTTGTAATATGTGATTGTGACATGTTGAACTCCACAGTTTTCTTTTTGTAAAACTAATTGCATGACAGATTATTGAACCCTACAGTTTTATTAAGCCTCCATCTCTTTGACCTGGTTGTTCTTTTAAATTACCAAGACTCTTTCTGTTATTTCCTCACAAAGATTCCACATGCCAGTGAAAATCACCCATATGTCATCTTTGCAAATGGCTAAGCATCCCATTACTTAGCCTTTATGTCTGCTGGCTCATGTAATAATCAACAGTGGACCCAGACTTTACCTGCTCTAGGAAACATTCATTGATTAAATACTCACAAACATATATATAGCATATCCATCCTGATGCCTTCTCTAACCAAGTATTTACTGGAAATCTCCACTCAGATGTTCCATAGGTCCTCAAACTCAGCATATCCAAACCTGAAGTCAAGACCTACACCCCACCCACCCATAACTTCCTCCTTTTCCCAAGTTTATCTAGGTCAGTGAACGAAAACATCAGATACCCAGTGATGGAGGCCAGAAGCTCGGAGGTCATTCTTGACAACTTCCTTTCCTTCGCCCCTTACTCTCTACTACGCACAAAGTCTGGGTGATTATATCTCCTAAATATCTCTTGCACTGAGATACTTCTTTGTAACCTCATTGCCTTCATAGTTTAATTTACCGACTTCTCATATTTAAACACTCTAATTATTCTACTTAAGTCCACTCTCATCTAAATCCCACACCCTACATCCACCTGTACCCTACATCCACCTGCTTATATCAATCCATTCAACAATTTCACCCTCCTCTTAGGGTAAAGAGCAAAATTCCTAAACATCCTTTAAGCTGTGTATGATCTGACTCTAATCAACATCGTCATCTTTCTTTGAGACTACTCTTTTTCACTTTCTCCGGACTCATCTGAATTAGCTATGGTCTTAGAGCTTACCTCTGTTTCACACCTATGGACGGTTTGCACTAATGGACCCACCCTTCCCCATCCTTGTATCCACCCCCTTTGCCACCTAACACTTCAGTCCTCTCCCACTGTTGGTGACACATAATTCCCTGACCCTGAGTTCAACCCATTGACTTGGTCTGGCCAGGAAAATTAGACCAGATACAGAGCCCAAGCTCCACGAGGACTTGTGTGTTTCCACTTGTCCTGTTGGACCTCTCCCTTCAGGGTAAGAAGAACATTCCCAGGGGAGGAGCCCTTTGGTCCCATGAGCAGGATGAGAGACACATGGAGCAGAACCTCCCCGCTGGGCCCAGCCTATGTCAGCTGACTCCCAGGGGACACATAGATGTATAAGGAACAATAGCAAGATGTTATTTTAAGTGGTTTAGGGTGGTTTGTTACATAGTAATCACTAACCGATACACTAACAGGGTAATCTGCATTTTCCTGTGGCTTTGTAAATATCCTCTACCTTCATTCATACATTTAGGCTAGCTAGGGTTAAAATCAACAAAGAATGCATAAATGGATAGCATCTTTACTACTGTAAATGCAAACTGTTGCTTGAAGATTGAAGTCCAGTAATAAAACAGTGGCTATTTTTCCCAAGGACTCCACTGTGACTTTCCAAATGAAATGAAGACCTTGCTATCATATCAGTCTCACAAATTAGGGAGGTGAAATTGGGTGTGGATCTTTCCTTCGCTGCCAAGGAAACCGTTCATACATGGGAGGGATGGCAAATCCACTGCCACAAACTGGGGGCCACACCGAGAGAGTTCAGAGCTGGTTTCTGAAATGACACAGTCCGCTTCGTTCTAGATAAGGGCACAGTCTGTCATAACAGGCATTTTAAAGGTCGCCTGAGACTTAAACAGAACATCTTGTTCCTTTTATTCTTGTCCTCTAAATTTTGCTTTGAAAAGCTATTCAATATTTCTGGCCTTTCCATTTTCTCTACCAGACGAAACCAATTACTAAATGGATGTTAATTAAGCCACAGGGCTAAGGCATTGACGACTCAAAATGAAAACCATGACCGCTGTTGTACCCCACCCCCCAAAATGCTGTGCTCATAAAGGAGACTCTTGAAATTAAGACTCTTGCACCCACAAACGTAAAGAGTGACTTGGGTGTTGTAAAACAAAGTGCACTGATTAATAATACACCATCAGGTTTATCATGTCAGAACAGAAATAAAGACGTCAAAGTGAACAGTCAACAGATGTCACAGCACTGGAGAAAACAACTGCATACATACCTGGATGGATGTGATTCTTCTCCCTGTAATAAATTGTAAAAACACACGTTTTAAGTCTTGCTCATACCTGTCCAAAATTCCAAAGCAGACATCTTGAAAGGAGGAAATATTCACTCTCCTAGTTAAAATGTTTTGGATTTTTTTGGGAGGGAGGAGGGCTAGAAATTTGAAAAATCGGCTCTCCCCCCTCCCCGCCCCCTTTTAAACCAGCTACCACCAGGTTGTCTTTAAATGGGGAGTATTTGCAAGAGGGCCACTGTCATTATCCAATGCCTGACAGACATCAGTAGCCTGGCCTCAGTGGGCTGTTTCTTAAAGTGCCTTCAAGATTAGAAGAAAGTGACCTAGACCCCCGTTTTAGTTCTTCTCTAAATTGCTACAGCCTTTCCACTCGAGAGCCAGTGCTTCCTAAAGAGTGTGTGTCCCCTCAGCAGTGCCCTTCTGTGCTGTGTCCTATCACAGGATCTCCTGGCCTTTGGGGGCATGTGGCAGCCCCCAGGACCTATTTTGCTTTGTGGTTAACCAAGTGAGAGGCAGAAGGCTTCGAGCTGTGTTACCTGAGGGCCAGGGCACCATGGCGTGGGGCTGGGCAGGGAGTGGCCTTCTCGCCCCAGAAGGGAGGCCTGGTGAAGAGAGCCCTCATCGATGGGCTGAAGCTCGGGAAGGGCTTGCTTGTCAGAGGGGCTGGTCTGGGGCTCGAACGAGTCAGCCGCGTCGAGGTTGGAAGACAACCTGGAGCAAAGTCTCCAGGGTGGCAGGGAGTGCGGAGAATCCTTCAGGCTTCCAGGCAGACTGCTGGAAAGGTAACACAGGGAGCCCGCAGGCTGACTCCAGCTTCCCCAGGTGGGCACCTGCAAGGCGTCCTGCTGAGACAGCGAGTGCAAAGTCCCCCGGCCACTGCCCCTTAGTCTCCTCAGGGTGGGAGAGATAGAAATGCGGCCTGGGGCCTGCCGGTCAAACTGGAGAAGCCCACCCTGGTTCTCACAGTGCGTCTTACACAGGCTCCTCAGGGGGTGCTGAAGGGAGGCTCCGTGGCCTGGGGGTGGCACCTCCAGGCAGGATGACCCCTTCTTCTTCATGAAGCTAACAGGACCCATTGCTGGAAGCTTCCAGGGGACGGTGTCCAAGTTGCTCTTCTCCGGACCACACTGGGGTTGCTCAGTTTCTGCATCCAGGTGCTGCTCTTCCTCTGGCATTTCTTTGCCTGTTTCCAGAGAATCACAAGCAGGTCGTTGCATATTTAGTGAGGAAGAGCAGACTGTGGAATCTGCAGCAAATAGGGAAGACTGCGGTGAGAAAAAAGGCGTCTGACATTTCAAAGGAAAATTCCTAATTCTTCAGAGGACATAGGTTGAGCCCGGTTCAAATGAGTATCCTTTACGTTTTGTAGATAACTAACATACGTCACGTATGTTCAGCCTTCCCATCTAAATAGCATATTGAAATCTGTTTGCTTTCTACTTAACATCTCTTCCAGGTTCAAACAAAAAAGCCTTTAAAAACTTTGGAGACTTAGCATACTTCTTGGAAACCACGCAGTCCTCATCATTAGATTACTCCATTTTAAGAGAACCAAATATACATGAAATTCTCCTCGTGTTCTGCATCAACGTAAGTACGTATGCACTTTGGTGCATTCCAAAGATATAAAAACAAGGAAAACCAGGCCTCTTCCCTCAAGGTTTAAATAATAGAATGAGACATAGCTTCAGAGATAATTGACGTAAAGTATCTGACGAAAAACATTTGAGATTTGATCAATGCCCATGATTTGGAAAAATGACTTGTGAGTTTGAAAAGAAAACCCAGATGCCCCCAGGTGCCCTACTTCTCATGATTAGAGGAGTCTTCTAGGACTCACACATGTAGAATTACCTCCTGATTAAGCTCTTCTTATGCTCAAGCAAAGCTGACTCTGCCATTTGACAACTTGATTCGTGGACATGTTACAGTTCTAGTAATTTGTGATCTCGCACATGAAGAAACTATTTCTTCTTCATGAACACAACAGTCCTTACCTATCCTGTCAGTTACTGCATGAGAGTTAACCTTTGATTATTTACAGACTAGGTGTGGGACTGTGGGATAGATGATAGAACTGTGTCCTCTTGCCATGGACAGTGTAGAGGGTGGTTCAGGCTGTGTACAATTGTCTGTGGATGGAAAATCAGTAGTTGGCCACAAATCCTGGGATCCCCAATAATAGTTGTAGCCAAGTCTGAAATTCTAACATGAAACTCAGCAAACTGGAACCCTTTGGGAATGACCACATTTGGATAGCCGAAATTTGAGGATGGCTAATAATTTACCTTTTTAGTGTCATAGAATTTTAATTGCATTAACAGAACTTTTTAGAATTCTTTCTACAGTGTATTATTTACTTCTTCAACTTGATATGGAGAATGCCGAAAACCAATAATGCTTTTCCTCATGAACTGACTTCGTTATGTTGACTATCACTCATAGTACGTTTAGTGAGATTATTACTACGTTTACTATTGTTCTGTGGCAAATGCAATAACTGTTGTTACATGTTTTTATAGCATCTGATAATTTACATGCACACTAAATGGCCGCACACTGATGTACCCCTAATTTTTATTCATCATTTCCCATTATACTTTGTGTACTGGCCTATGGCAGCCACTCTCTCCTCTTTCATTTGTTTCTTTTAATCTATTTCAGGCATAGAAGTCTCATAACCTCATATGGAGACAATTAATAGGGTCTTAGATTTATTCTTATCAGTAAAGACAAGGAGCCCAATGTTATAACATTGCCATGACAGTTTTGTGACACTGATTTTGGGCACTCCATGATCTCTCATATTTACTTCTCTCATCTTGCGTAAGGTCAAACTAACTGGTATTCGATTTTAGACTAGAGAGTTGCTCGAGGAACTACTTAGATACCAACTAACATCAATTCAACTCTTATTTACAAAGGAAATCTGAAATTCTTCACGTGGAGTTGGCTTACCTATTTTGAGCTGAGGACTCAAGTTGCTATAGAACTTCACGTGGAAAACAACAATGCATGAGGTATCCTTTTTTGAGTAGTGGAGGAAAGAGGGTAACCCCAGTTTGAACTCTTACATTTAGTTAAGGTGGGGTTGAACTAGTTATGGTTTTAGATTGGTAATTTCTGGCTGCTGCTCTAAAGGTTGATGTCAACTTTGGTGGAGAAGAATGAAAATGTCTGTTCTGACCAGTGATAAAGTTAGGTATATCGCTGCTTCACAGAGGAGCCAGTTCCTCATTCTCTCAACAATCAAATGGCTGAGCCAAGCACCAGAGTTGTAGGTACTTTCATGCCTGTATACACCCCGGGGATTCTCTTATTTCTCTCCTTCAGAGGACTGTCCAAGTTCTAGGCAGCAGCAATAATAAACAAATTCAGTATGCTTACATAGTAGTTATACCAGAATTCTTAGAGTTTCTCTTCTGTCCTTTTGGCCTTTTTTCTCCTCTTTTGAGGGGTTAGGACATACCTTTGAGTTTCCCTTCTAGTTGTCTGCACACAGAGGTGTGGCTGCTGGCAGGAGGTTTATTTACGTCCAGTAAGATTTAAGACATGAGTATTATTTATTAGTCAGCGTCTTAAATATCGGAACCAAGGCAATAGCACCTGCTGGCATGACTCACCGCAGACGTGGAGAGACTTAACTACAGCAGGGCTTCGGGAGGTGGTTTGCAGAGAAGTAGCCCAAGTGCTGGAGTAAATGAATCTGGTTTCTCTCCTAGTCTCACTGCCAACTAACCATGTGACCTAGGACAAGCCACTTCTCTGCCAGCCTCCGTGCAGCAATTATAAAAAGGGCATGAAAGTACCTTCCTCCCAGGCTTGTTGCAGGAATTAAATGAAATAATGGCCGAGGCTCCTGGGAGGCCTTCCCACAATGACTACCCCCCCAGCAGACCTGGTAAGGAGTCAAAAGTTAACAGGAAATCAGCCCATGCTCACTGTTCTTTCCGTTTAAAAGATGAAATCAATACATGATCATTGTAAAGAAAATTCACCAGCTTTTGACCTCCCAAGCTTTAAGAATCCAGCAAACACCCACCCATACTGTTAGGGAAGCGATCTCCTTCTACTAGAAATTAAACCATGTGGATTAATGATTCACTAACTCTCATTAGACCTGGAAAGACCAGCAAAACAAGACCAAGCAAAGCTGATAGCAAGAGGACCCGAAGAAACAGAAAGTGCAAGAGGGAAACCCAGAGAGCAGCTGAAGGTTGCCTTTAATACCTGGGAGATGGTCTGTTGCTGAATGTGACATTGTCCAGGGGGGCCCTGATAATCCTCAGTCTGAAGAACCACAGAGCCAGTGAGCAGCCAGTTGAGGTGAGGGCTCGGAGCAGCAGGTCCCACACCTGTAACAATGGACCCTGCTCACCTGAGTGCTCGCAACCCTGATAGGAGCTGAAATGAGGAACTGGCCTCTCCCCTCCTTAGAGACATTTCTAATTATTTGTTTATGAAAAAGCCTGAAGGGAAGCACGTCCAGAATCTAAGACCGCCTAGAAAAAGTTAGGTGAACAATGGCTGATCCAAAACAGGTCATCAGAAATGATGCAAAAGTGGCTTTTTACATCCCCTTAAGAGGTCCAATAATCCTCGATAGTTCAGTGAAGGAGTTCTGGGTTTCTAGTCTTTATTTTTTTCTAAAGTTGTGAGAATCGTTCTTTGGAATCTTACTTTCTTCACATCTTCAAACATTTTGTGCTGATCTATTTTATTAATGGGATGCTTTGATAAGCCTTGAATAATAGAGGAAATGATTGCTGTACTAGGGAACACATTTGTGAGCATTAGTTTTCAAATAATTAAAATGCAAATAGAAAGGCATTTGTATACACCGGCATTCTTATCAGATCGGTACACCTAAGAACATTTATTTGGTGTCTAGGTAGAGATCATGTATATTTGTGCAGTGTTCAAAAAATTCCTATAGGCTTTATAAACACAAATTCAAATTAATTCCAATTAAGTCTAATTTACTGAAATTTCCATTGCTTGGAATCATTACAGATACTTATTGTGAAGATTTCTTTAGGTCAGTGATTCTCAAAGTGGGTTTCCTAGATGGGCAGCACCAGCATCCCTTGGGAACTTGTCAGAAAGGATAATTCTCTCCTTGGGCCCCCATCAGAAACTCTGGGGGAGGGGCCAGAACTCTGTGTTTTGACTCTTCCAGGTGATTCTTATACTTGTTAAAATTTGAGAACCACCGTCTTAGGGAAATATTTTATAAGGTCTAATTTATAGACATTGGCCTTATGATAACCTTTGCATTAGTCTTTAATTCTTTGATATTGGTCTTATTAGAACATCATTTACTTAGACCTTTGAAGAATGACTTGATCTGCTGCCCCACCATCACTGCGGCCATCACCACCACCCAAGCAAAAATGGAATATCAAGAATTATCTGTTTTGCCAGCATAGAACCCTCATAACACAGTCTGAGCTTCTGCCAAGCCTGTCTCAAAATGAATTGCTTCAATTCAGGAAGAAAGAAAAATGAATAAAGTCTTTTAGCTTTTGGTTTGTGGAAGGAAGGTCATACTTTATCTACTAGTCCCCTCACGCACATGTGATTGTAAAACTGTCTCTCCTGGGGGCTGATGATAATGGAATATTTGATCCCAATGCAAAAATTTCCAACCTCTGGCTGTAACTTCAAGAAGGAAATTAAGAGTCTTGCAGAAAGGTCATAAAGGATTATCAGGAAAAAAAAAATAGTGCCACTTCCACCTAATTTGTCACTAGGTGGGGACAGGGAGGCATTTTTTGGGAAAGGGATGGCCTTGGGTTAGCTTCTCCTTCAAGACCCAGGGCAACTTCACTGACAGCAAGAGTGGCCCTTCATCTCTTAGTATGACACACGGATTTTCTCTCCAGTTCTGCAGAGGAAACAGCTTCCCTCCTCATTTTTTTGTCTACTCTCTGGGTTTCTTGACTGGGATGTTTTTGTTGAGGAGGAAGTCACCAGAGATGTACCCCATGTGGAATCTAAAGTTTGATAAGCTATTTTCTATCATGAATATTCAGATCTGAGGCTGCAAGTTCTGGAGTTGTGATTGGTCCTCCAGCTTTTTATAAGAAATTTATCCAACATTAGAAATTAGGATACTTTATAGAAAAATTTGGATCGTAGGCTTTTCTTTTTCTTCTTTTTAAATTAATCATTCTGGCAACACTCTATTCCTATTCCCATATTCTCATATATATCAAAGGACTGGATCTGAGGACAGGGCTCTGT